GAGCAAGTGCCTGCCCGCGCCACGGCCGCACCACGCTCTCACCCAGAGCTGCATTGCTACACTTCCTGGCACAAAAATTACTTAATAATCTATATTTAATACCCTCAGGCCAACAGGAACTGAAACTCCAAACCCTTCCTTCCCTCGGCACAGAGAGGAAGGGCCCTGTGCACAGCAGGTCTGGTTGCTTGAGCTTTACACTAGCTGCAAAACCTTCACAAAATGTGTAAGAGAGCTACGGGCAGCGCAAGGGACCCCCTTGCCCTGCCCTGCCTGTCCAAGTAGCCCCCTTGCCCTGTCCTGCCTGTCCCCAGCCATTGCCACACGCATCACCGTGAGGACACACACGGCACGCGGGGGGACTCGTGGGCAGCTGGCAGGGCCACGCGCCGTCCTGCCTCTCCTTGGGCTCGTACAGGGCCAGCACAGTCTGCCCTGGCACCCTGACGCACACGGAGGAGGAGGGGTCCCGGGACCAAGCAGGTCACCTGTGGGGACAGCACAGAACAAGCCCCTTGCTCACCCGCGGCAAAGCCTGGCCATGCCCTCGCTCCCGGTGCTGCACGGAGCGGAGAGGCACAGTCTGGGATGTCTTCCCTTTTGCTCACCGAGCCTGGTGGCACCGGGGAAGCTGCAGCTCCGGCCTTGCTCTCCGCGGAGCTCCACATCTGGGTCCCCAGGGCTGTGGGGTGGGCAGCACAGGGACAGCACTTCGTGCACTCACGCAGCCCCATGCGCTCCCTGAGCGCTCCCTGCGCTCCTGCCTAAGGCCGAGGATGGTGGGAGCTGCCGGAGCGCTGGGCGAGCGGCTGCGCATGCGGAGCACGGGGCGCCCGGCCAGGCCTCGGGACCAGGGCAGCAGCTCCCGCTGCCTCACCAGGTGCCACCACCACCCAAGAGGGCAGTCCACCCCTGTGACAGCTGGTACCGCCGCCAAAACAGGCGGATTAGAGCTGCTAAGGACGCTTAGGAACTGGCAACGTAGCGTCTGCCACCGTGGCAGAGTGCAACGGAGCCAAGGAAGGGGCTGCGGCCCCCCGGCACAGCCCAACGCCTCGTGTGCTCGTTCTGGAGAGCAGCTCCGCGGCACCAAAAGCAGAGCTCGTGTCAGAGCACTGCGCTCCTCCCATGTGCACCCGGGAGCAGGGCGAGCGAAAGCACTGCTCCGCGCCACCCGCCGGCACCCGCGCCAAGCCGCGCGCAGGGGCCGCCTCCAAGCAGCGCGGGTTCATAATTAGCAATGACGTGTTTATTAAATAATTTCTCAGCCAGGTGGTTGGAGTTAATCAGTGATTTAGTACTGGTCTGTAGCTGCTGGCAGGTTGCGCCTTTGAATCATCACTCTAGCTAAAACAAAACAAGAAAACCCACAAGAACAGAGAATACCGCAGCCCTGCTGCGCCTCTCAGTAAGGCCATGCATAAACGCATGGGAAAAGGCTGCACTGGAGCAGTAAAATGAGGGTTTTAAGGACAGGGCAAAGAGACCACGCTTACGCTGACTGCGTGCAAGGGGCACCAACAGTCCTCATTAAGCGCTTAATGTTGGACCCTGGAGCTGGTGCCTCTAAAAACAGCAAACTGACCTTGCAGGCAGGTACGGGAGAACCCAGGTGACTTACGAAGTTCACGGAGAAAAGTCCTTGCGCACGGATGGCTTCCTGTGCTCCACTTGCTAAAAAATAAATAAATAAAGCATCCTCTTACCAAAGACCTGCAGCCTGCCGACAGATTACACGTGTAAGGGATGGGAGGAAAAGACAGGAGACAGGCTCAGAGCACGACGGGAGCAAAGCCAAGCCCTTAGAGACCAACAGGAGTTGGATGTTCCCCCTAGGATGGGATTACTCAGTATAGAGCTTCATTTTTTTCAATTTGCACACTTTCCAGCCGATTTTATAAGAACTGAAGATCTGAGCAGCCTCTCCAGGGACACGTAGATTTGGCAGAGCAGGGGCACAGCCGTAGCTGTGTCCTGCTGGAACACGCCGCCTCAGCACAACTGACTGCTGTTTTATTGCCTTTACAGCACAGAGCTTCCCGCTGCAGGTCAGCAGCCGAGTCCCGTCCCGCTGATGCCCACGGGGAGGTCGGGAGCTGAGGATGGGGACTATGGATTTGCAGGGACGTTCGGAGCGGCAGAGCGCGGGTTGGCCTTCCCGACCGCAGAAACAAGCAGTGCAACTCCAGGCCCTGCACAGGCCCGTCTGACAGG